ACCAGGAGATAGAATATAAAATTCTTCCTCTCCATCATCGGGTTCATCTCTACCAACAAACAAGAGACCAGGAGATAGAATATAAAATTCTTCCTCTCCATCATCGGGTTCATCTCTACCAACAAACAAGAGACCAGGAGATAGAATATAAAATTCTTCCTCTCCATCATCGGGTTCATCTCTACCAACAAACAAGAGACCAGGAGATAGAATATAAAATTCTTCCTCTCCATCATCGGGTTCATCTCTACCAACAAACAAGAGACCAGGAGATAGAATATAAAATTCTTCCTCTCCATCATCGGGTTCATCTCTACCAACAAACAAGAGACCAGGAGATAGAATATAAAATTCTTCCTCTCCATCATCGGGTTCATCTCTACCAACAAACAAGAGACCAGGAGACAGAATATAAAATTCTTCCTCTCCATTATCGGGTTCATCTCTACCAACAAACAAGAGACCAGAATACTCCAATAGGTATACGAGTCTAAACTATTTCCCTAATCTCAACAGGAAGTTTCTGGAGAATATTACTCAAAATATTCTTAAGAATAACCTGGTTACCTCCCAACGGGTATATGAGGTTAAACTATTTCCCGAACACTCCAATATAGTATATGAGTATAAACTGTTTCTCAAATTCTTCAACAGCAGTTCTAATTCGAGATTTCGACAACGGCCACGCGATAAACGCAGAACCGGAGGAATTTTAGCTATTCTACAAAGTACTGAATAGGCTAAAAGATGAAGAAATCAAGGATTGAAGCCATTCACAAACCATTCTGCACAATTTCCTCAACAAAGCACTGGAGAAATTGCAGGGAAAGCTTATCATATCCAAAGTATCCCAGACCCCTCTCTAAAAAATGATGAGTCTGAGATACTTTGGAGGGGGTATCTGTAGGCGTCAAAAAATGCTTACAGACATTCAAACACCACTCAAGACGACATAGAAGAACAATATACACGTCATCAAGCAACGCATGGCGGCGCGGCAAGACATGGTGCCGCGGCTAAGGCGTGGCAGACCAAGGTGTCGCGGCTAAAGCGCGGCAGACCAAGGTGTCGCGGCTAAGGCGCGGCAGCCCATGGTGCCGCGGCTTAACCGCTGCAACCTATGGTGCCGTGGCAGTTAAAGAAGGATGCTGTGGCAGTTATAAGGGAGGTATCTGATGATTTTTAGCCTATGGTGCCGCGGCTATTACAAGGGGTGCTGCGGCGGTTACAAGACAGTTGTATGATGATTTTTTGAAGCCCACGTGGCAGCGTGTCAGAAATAGAACGTGTTCTGACGTGTACAAGCAGTTAAACCACGAAAAAGGTGGTTAAAGGTCGTGGGAGAACTGTTTCAAACACGTATGAACGTGGGTGTAACTGCCCCTTTAGCCGCGGCAGTGTCGACTGCCGCGCTCTTTGGCCGCGACAGTGTCAACTGTCGCGCCCTTTAGCCGCGACATCATCAGCTGCCGCGCCTAAAGAGACAGTTATTGATCGGCTATTTCTTCAGTTATCGTCTAAGGAGGCTATAAATACCCCCCTATGGCCATCATTGACAGAGGCGGAGCATTTTCCAGAGCAGATTATAGCAGAGAGCCTTGAGTTTTGGTGAATTAGAGCAAGAAAGAGAGTCTTCCTTCTTCACAAACATCCTCAAGAAGTTTCTGGCGATTCCTAGAGATCTAAGCTCTGACTTGATCTTTAGAAGAGTGAACATCTTACATCGATAAGATATTCGCTTCAAATTCTTACTTCGATAAACGAAGGAAGAATCATTAAACCCCTCACGGTTCAATCAGAATCTGTGATTTGGTGGTCCATGAGTCAAAGCGCTCCCGGCACAGGCAAAGATCCCACGCAAGCAGCGATCCGAACAACGATCCTGCGTTTGTTTCTAAAAAGTTGTAATTTTCCTTTTGTTGTGTAAGAGAAGTCTTATAAAAAGACTATTTCTTTTGAATTTATTGTAATCGACCGAAGATATAATGAATTCCATGACAAAACCAACTTTTGACGCAAACAATGTGAAGATGGACAATACCAGCTACTCGAAGATTATGAGACTTGGTGATATACACTTGCAGACAAATACATGATGCACACTGATCTTAAAGAATGTGCGGTGTGTTCTCAATTTGCAGTTCAACTTGATCTCGGGTCTTACTTTGGACTGAATGGGATATGAAATTAAATTTGGTGGAGGAAAATGTAAAATCACCAAAGGCTCTCTTGTGGTGGCTAGAGGAAGTATATGTTACAATTTATATAAGACTTAAGCAAAGGCTTCATATGATTCTTTGAGCGTGACTCAAGACGGTGACACTCTCAATTTGTAGCATAAGAGGCTTAGGCACATGAGCGAGAAGGGGTTGCAGATATTGGCAAAGAAGTCTCTCATTCCCTTTGACAAAGGTTCGTCACTCACCCCTTGTGATTATTATTTGTTTGGCAAACAACATAGAGTTTCTTTTAGTAAGCCTTCTAAAAGAAAAGATAATATTCTAGATTTGATTTATTCTAATGTTTGTGATTCTATCGAGGTGGAGTCCTTGGGTGGCAATAAGTATTTTGTTATATTTATTAATGATGCATCACAGAAGATATGAGTCTTCTTGTTGAGAACAAAAGAGCATGTATTTTCAGTCTTACAACAGTTTCATGCCATGGTGGAGAGGCAAACAGGAAAGAAGTTGAAGTATTTGCGTACTGATAATGGAGGAGAGTACAATTCCATTGAGTTTAGAGATTATTTCTCCAAGCATGGTATTCGGTATCAGAGGACAGAGCCCGACACACCGCAGCATAATGGAGTTGCAGAGAGATATAACAGGACCATTATGGAGAAAGTGAGATGCATGTTAAAGATAACGAAGTTACCTAAGAGCTTCTGGACTGAAGCTGTTGGCACTGCATGCTACATAATCAACAGGTCTCCTTTAGTTCCTTTAGGTTTTGATATTCCATAGAAAGTTTGGTCCGGAAAAGACATTTTCTATTCTTATCTGAAGGTGTTTGGTTGCAAGGTGTTTGCACACATTCCGAAGGAGAAGATGAGTTCGGCTACAAACTATGGGATCCAGAAAAGAGATGAATTATCAAACGAGCAGATATGATTTTTTAGGAGGATCTGACTATTACAGATCTCAAGAGAGAAGAGCAGTTAGAGAGTGTTGCTAGTGAGATTTCAGATATGACATCCATTTTATATCCAGTACAGTTACATCCTACAGATATAGAGCAGGTGCATGATGATGATGTTGATGATGACGGTCAGATAACAAAACAGGGAGACAGTGATCAGGATCACGAGCAGGAGGTTCCTCGGCAGGGGGAGCATCACCAGCAGTAGGGGTTTGCAGAGCCACAACTTAGGAGATCAGCTAGAGAGCATCAACCATCCACGAGATATCCTCTTTTAGACTATTCTTTGTTGACAGAAGAGGGGGAGCTAGAAAGCTTTCAGGAGGCACATACTCATTAAGACAATGACAGATGGTTCCAGACTATGAAGAAAGAGATGAAGTCTCTTGAGAAGAACGATACTTATGAGTTGGTGAATTTGCCGAATGATAGAAAAGCTTTAAAGAACAAGTGGGTGTTCAAATTAAAGAATGATGGCTACAAAGAGATTTAGAAATACAAAGCCAGATTAGTGGTGAAAGGTTTTGGTCAGAAAAAGGACATTGATTTTGATGAGATTTTTTCACCGGTTGTGAAGATGATATCCATTAGAGTTATCTTGGGGTTAGCAGCTAGTTTAGACCTCGAGATTGAGCAGCTTGATGTGAAGACTATATTCCTTCATGGTGATTTGGAGGAGAAGATCTACATGGAGCAGCTGGAGGGTTTTAAAGTGAAGGGAAAAGAACACATGATTTGCAGGTTGAAGAAGAGCCTCTATGGTTTGAAGCAGGCACCCAGACAGTGGTACAAGAAATTTGATTCTTTCATGTTGAGTCATGGCTATCAAAGAATAATTGCAGATTCGTGTGTATATTTCAGAAGAATTTTAGATTCTAGCTTCATTATCCTTTTGCTTTATGTGGACGAATCTGCAAGAGGACAGAGCCCGGCACACCGCAGCATAATGGAGTCGCAGAGAGATATAACAGGACCATTATGGAGAAAGTGAGATGCATGTTAAAGATAACGAAGTTACCTAAGAGCTTCTGGACTGAAGCTGTTGGCACTGCATGCTACATAATCAACAGGTCTCCTTTAGTTCCTTTAGGTTTTGATATTCCATAGAGAGTTTGGTCCGGAAAAGACATTTTCTATTCTTATCTGAAGGTGTTTGGTTGCAAGGTGTTTGCACACATTCCGAAGGAGAAGATGAGTTCGGCTACAAACTATGGGATCCAGAAAAGAGATGAATTATCAAATGAGCAGATATGATTTTTTAGGAGGATCTGACTATTACAGATCTCAAGATAGAAGAGCAGTTAGAGAGTGTTGCTAGTGAGATTTCAGATATGACATCCATTTTATATCCAGTACAGTTACATCCTACAGATATAGAGCAGGTGCATGATGATGATGTTGATGATGACGGTCAGATAACAAAACAGGGAGACAGTGATCAGGATCACGAGCAGGAGGCTCCTCAGCAGGGGGAGCATCACCAGCAGTAGGGGTTTGCAGAGCCACAACTTAGGAGATCAGCTAGAGAGCATCAACCATCCACGAGATATCCTCTTTCAGACTATTCTTTGTTGACAGAAGGGGGGGAGATAGAAAGCTTTCAGGAGGCACATACTCATTAAGACAATGACAGATGGTTCCAGACTATGAAGAAAGAGATGAAGTCTCTTGAGAAGAACGATACTTATGAGTTGGTGGATTTGCCGAATGATAGAAAAGCTTTGAAGAACAAGTGGGTGTTCAAATTAAAGAATGATGGCTACAAAGAGATTTAGAAATACAAAGCCAGATTAGTGGTGAAAGGTTTTGGTCAGAAAAAGGACATTGATTTTGATGAGATTTTTTCACCGGTTGTGAAGATGATATCCATTAGAGTTATCTTGGGGTTAGCAGCTAGTTTAGACCTCGAGATTGAGCAGCTTGATGTGAAGACTATATTCATTCATGGTGATTTGGAGGAGAAGATCTACATGGAGCAGCTGGAGGGTTTTAAAGTGAAGGGAAAAGAACACATGATTTGCAGGTTGAAGAAGAGCCTCTATGGTTTGAAGCAGGCACCCAGACAGTGGTACAAGAAATTTGATTTTTTCATGTTGAGTCATGGCTATCAAAGAACAATTGCAGATTCGTGTGTATATTTCAGAAGAATTTTAGATTCTAGCTTCATTATCCTTTTGCTTTATGTGGGCGAATCTGCAAGAGGATAGAGCCAGGCACACCGCAGCATAATGGAGTTGCAGAGAGATATAACAGGACCATTATGGAGAAAGTGAGATGCATGTTAAAGATAACGAAGTTACCTAAGAGCTTCTGGACTGAAGCTGTTGGCACTGCATGCTACATAATCAACAGGTCTCCTTTAGTTCCTTTAGGTTTTGATATTCCATAGAGAGTTTGGTCCGGAAAAGACATTTTCTATTCTTATCTGAAGGTGTTTGGTTGCAAGGTGTTTGCACACATTCCGAAGGAGAAGATGAGTTCGGCTACAAACTATGGGATCCAGAAAAGAGATGAATTATCAAACGAGCAGATATGATTTTTTAGGAGGATCTGACTATTACAGATCTCAAGAGAGAAGAGCAGTTAGAGAGTGTTGCTAGTGAGATTTCAGATATGACATCCATTTTATATCCAGTACAGTTACATCCTACAGATATAGAGCAGGTGCATGATGATGATGTTGATGATGATGGTCAGATAACAAAACAGGGAGATAGTGATCAGGATCACAAGCAGGAGGCTCCTCGGCAGGGGGAGTATCACCAGCAGTAGGGGTTTGCAGAGCCACAACTTAGGAGATTAGCTAGAGAGCATCAACCATCCACGAGATATCCTCTTTCAGACTATTCTTTGTTGACAGAAGAGGGGGAGCTAGAAAGCTTTCAGGAGGCACATACTCATTAAGACAATGACAGATGGTTCCAGACTATGAAGAAAGAGATGAAGTCTCTTGAGAAGAACGATACTTATGAGTTGGTGAATTTGCCGAATGATAGAAAAGCTTTAAAGAACAAGTGGGTGTTCAAATTAAAGAATGATGGCTACAAAGAGATTTAGAAATACAAAGCCAGATTAGTGGTGAAAGGTTTTGGTCAGAAAAAGGACATTGATTTTGATGAGATTTTTTCACCGGTTGTGAAGATGATATCCATTAGAGTTATCTTGGGGTTAGCAGCTAGTTTAGACCTCGAGATTGAGCAGCTTGATGTGAAGACTATATTCCTTCATGGTGATTTGGAGGAGAAGATCTACATGGAGCAGCTGGAGGGTTTTAAAGTGAAGGGAAAAGAACACATGATTTGCAGGTTGAAGAAGAGCCTCTATGGTTTGAAGCAGGCACCCAGACAGTGGTACAAAAAATTTAATTCTTTCATGTTGAGTCATGGCTATCAGGGAACAATTGCAGATTCGTGTGTATATTTCAAAAGAATTTTAGATTCTAGCTTTATTATCCTTTTGCTTTATGTGGACGATATGTTGATTGTTGGTCAGGATAGTCAGGTAATTGGTGGGATGAAGAAGGAGTTATTTAAATCTTTTGACATGAAGAATTTGGGTTCGGCACAGCAGATTTTTGGTATGGATATTACTCATGACAGGAAAGTCAGAAAGTTGTGGTTATCACAGGAGTAATATGTTGAACGACTACTTGATAGATTCAACATAAAGATGCCAAGTCAGTCAGTACTCCTCTTGCAGGTCATTTGAAGCTTAGCAAAATGTTTTGCCCGACTACAGATGAGGAAAAGAGTAAGATGGAGAATATTCCTTACTCTTTAGCTGTAGAGAGTTTGATGTATGGCATGGTTTGCACTCGGCCAGATATCACTTATGTAGTTGGTGTTGTGAGCAAGTTTCTTTCTAATCCAGGAAAAGTTTATAGGGAAGGTGTAAAGTGAATCTTAAAATGTTTGAAAGCCAGTTCCAGATTGTGTTTGAGTTTTGGAGGTTCGAATGCAGTATTATTTGGTTTTGCATATGCGGATATGGCAAGTGATCTCGATCACATGAAGTCTACCTCAGGTTGGTTGTTTACTTTTGCAGGGGGAGCAATATCTTGGCAGTCCAGGTTGTAGAAGCGTGTTGCTTTATCTACAACAGAGACAGAATATATTGCAGTTGTAGAAGCCGGTAAAAAGATGATTTGGTTAAGAAGATTTCTGCATGAGTTTGGATTGCAGCAAGATAATTATCAAATCTTCATTGATAGTCAAAGTGATTTTGATTTGAGCAAGAATTCCACATTCTACTCCAGGACGAAACACATTGGTGAGGGATATCATTGGCTTAGAGAAGCCGTTGAGAAAGAGGAGCTGAAGCTACAAAAGACTCACACATATAAAAATCCAGTAAGTTTTTTAACGAAGACCATTTCCAGAGAGAAGATTGTTTGTGTCGGAAATCAATTTCTTTGCAACTTCCATTACAATCGTTTATTGATTACAAATAGAAAAAAAAAGTGAGTCTTTTTATAAAACTTCTCTTTATAAGAGAAACAAACAGAGGGGGTTTCCTAGAAACACACACAGAGATCGTTTATCGGTTGCTGCTTGTGTGGGATCTTTGCTTGTGCCGGGGACGCGTTAGTCCGTGGACCACCGATGCACAGATCCGGATTGATCGTGAAGAAGGCTCAGTGTTCTTATTTGGTTTTAGAAATAAGAACAGAAGTAAATAACCTCACTAAGGTGAGATTAATACTCTTCTCAATATCAAAATAAAATTTGATCTCAAGGGAAAGGGTGAAGGCCTGCAGACCTCTCGAAATCTTCCTCTTTATGCTGAAGTTCGCCAAGATCTTGCCTTTTTTTTCCTCTCTGAATTTCATGTCTCTCTGCTCAAAACGTCAAAACCTTGCCTAAGAATTCAGATCTCGCCTGTCTCACGTCTATATGGATTCTATGAGGGTATTTATAGGCTTCAGACGCCGTGTTTGCGAATAAGAATTCGTGATTTGAGTGTATCTTCAGTTAGAAATGACTTTCCCGTGTTTAGGGATGTTCCCAAAGTAGTTAAGAAGCTAATAGACCGCACGAATCCTGAGAAATCCATCAGAAAACACGTCGGGGGCATCCTCACTATGCGAGACACCTTGGTGTGTATAGGGGGTGAGATACCATTTGGTATCTCGGGGGCGAGACACCCTGGACTGTCTCACCTTGCCGTTTCGTCGTTTCGCGTGTTCCTTTGCTTCTTCTTCACATCGGATGACCTCTTTTGACTTAGATAATGATGTTCTTTGTCTTCTCTTCTTCTTGAGCTATGTTTGAGACATATAGGAATTTTTTTGACGCTTACAGTTGACTTGGTCTAATAGTTCAAGCGAGGTTCGATCAGTTCAGGAAGACTTCAGAACATGCTGCGAAGAACAGATCATAACTTTCAAATCGTAAGTCGGAATTGGACAAATTATATATAAAAATCATGTATTTTTTCAAAACATGGCCGACCAAACCGACCAAAGTTTGGTTTTCTACCTTCCGTTTTGCTAAATTCCCTTCAGTTCGAGAGATATCAGCGTTTTTGTCAGTTTTGAGCTTCTTTGCAATCTATAGGTAATTTTTACTGCCTACAAAGACCGAATTGTGTTGGCGATTGGCCGACATGAACTCCCGTTAAGGAGTTACAGATTGGCATACCCTCTCGTTGGGCTGGATGGGGAGATTGTTGTGGGTCCAGCCCAAGATAAGGCCCACATGAGGTTCACATGAATTAAAATTCTATATAGATGAGGATTTAGATGATCTATTTATAATAGGAATAGGTTTGTAGATTTCTATTTATGAGAACACTGTAATCAATTTCGGTGAATAGTAACCGAAAAGAAAAGAGAGGGGAGAGAGAGAAAAGTTCAGATTCCGGATAGCTCGGTTGTTCGGTTGCAATGATTCAAAAGCCGTTATCTTCAGAACCACGACACTGTCGAGAGTACGGTGCTGGTTTCTCCGTGGGTGTTGGAGATTTTTGGTGAGACCGGTTTTAGGGTTTTTGTGCCCTAAATGTAACACTGTATTTTTTCTTGTGATTTAATCCTCAAGTTTAAGTGTAACTTGGAGGGATTGTACTCTTGATTCATAGTGAAATATTTCTCTCTAGATTGCCCCATGGACGTAGGCACAATTTACCGAACCACGTTAAATCTTGGTGTTTGCTTGCTTGTGGTATTTTCATTGGTGTCGTTATTCGTTTAGAGTTTAATTCCGCAGATTAATCTCCATAAAATCACTAACAACAGCTGTTATCCATATGTAGTTGTTCTTGTCATTACTTGGTTTACTTTTAATAATTTTCACCTATACCTGATGTTGCAAGTGAATGTCAATTGCCATAGTGTTAATGTTTAACCCCTTTTACTGGATTAAATTATGTAAGCCTTTTAGGTCAAAATCCACTTAGGACTCGTTTGGTTTGACAAATGTATTGAAAGTAGGAAATAGATTAAAAATAACTTGTAAATTTATGAAGTAGGAAGTACGGGAAGTAATTTTTTTAGTTTGTCTCACATATTTTTCTTTAAATAATGGAAATAGTAGTTCTTATTCTTCATTCAATTTTTTTGTTTGGATGGCAATGAAAACTTGTTAGGAAGTAGCTAATAAAGAAAATATTAATAAGAAAATTTATTTATTTCCTAAGTAATACTCATTTCACCTACTTCCGGGCTACTTCCTAGCATTGAGGGGATGAAAAATATTTAGAAAGTAATGATGACACGTAGGAGCCACATCAGCATTTAAAGAAGTACTGAAAGTATGTTTTTTAGAGAAACAAACATGTTTTTTTTTTCTCGAAAGTAGCAGAAGCAGCATAGATTTCCTTTACTTCAACTACTTCATAATTACTTGCGCACAAACAAACGGGCCCCAGGCCGTTTGTTATAGCAATAGATTTCTGCTAATTGTAACTTATTTTAATAACACCGCCCGAAATCGAACCCAAGGACCGTGGTAGAACTAATTACAACTTGGTGAATTAGTCTAAGCGAAACATAGATAACTATATGCAATCTAGAATTTCTCGGTTGCATGTAAGTACTACATTTTACAAGGAATCAACATCCCCAGAACCGTTGTGTTCTAACAATTACCAACGTTTAAAATTCCTGCTACAGCCAGCTACAAGCAAGAGACCCGTCTGTAAAAGAGCACGATCGCCTACCATAAAGAGAGGCCAAAGATTCCCTCCTCCGCGGTCACATCAGAATTAGTTCTCTCTCTCTCCTCTCTCCCTCTCTCATGGCCAAAGTTCTTTTACTCTCCCTCTTCTCTCCATCTCCCTAGCCACCGCCCGCGGACCCCACCGCCGTAATACGCCGGCTGCTCCAGTCGAAGTACGAACCGAACTCCCCTACCAATCAACGTCGACTCCCTCCTCTCCTCCGTCGCCACGCCGCCTCATCCTCCCCCTACGCAGTTCACCTCCGACGCGCCTCCTCCTCCTCCCCGCTACGGCTCTTCCAGTGCCGCGGCGACCTCGACGCGCACCTGCGCCGGTCCTGCGTCGCTCCGCCCTCTCGCCATCTGGTCGCCCCCTTGCCGCTCCTCTCGAGCGCGCTCCGCTCGACGGGTGCTTCGTCGCTACGATAACGAGTCCTTTCATCGGGAAAGGAGCGAACCAATTTGCTCTCAAAGAAAATTTGCGGCCCAAATCCTCGCAACGGTAAACCTTTGGAAGAAATAGAGAAAGAGAGTTTATATAGCTTATTTTCTCTAGGGTAATCTTATTTCATTTTGTGTTGGTTCTCCTCTAACCAAACATACTAACAAATTTACATTCCTTATTGTCAAGTAAGGACGAGGGGCGCAAAAAGAAAAATCTATACAATGTTTAAAGTGGAGTTAACCGGCTGAGCTACAAGGCACAGGATATGATCTGGAGGATAAAGAAAATATTAGAGAGGGTTAATCTAACCGCCGCTAGAGATTAAAATGAGTTAACCCCTCAAATGAGGGGTTTACTCATAATACTCCCTATTTAAGAAGGATTAAGAGTTAAGCCTTTAGATTATAAAGAAAATAGTCCAAAATCATTGTTATTTTCAGTAAAACACTAAAAACTGGATCACAAAAGGACTAAATAATATACTTATTTAAACCATTGTTATATAATTTAGTCTTCAGATTATCGAATGGGGCTAGAATACATTAATCATTGCTTTTAACCTCTCTTTCTTAACCTTTGGCCAAAACGGGACGGCCTTAGGAGACTGCAAAACTAAAGTAATTTTTTTTTTCTGAACTAAATAAATAAATCTAAGAAGATAGTGAGCGTACGAAAATCACCCATTTGGCTTTCTAGACGATTCTTTCTATCATTATATTACCTTTTTAACTGCTAGTGAAATGCGTCCAATAGCCATTACTTGGAGAGCCACGCGCCTTGATTCAATGTTAGTGCGAAAGCCACGGGGCTAAACAACTTATACAATGGATTTACGTCCCATCTAGACATAATTGAGTCTTGCCTCACTTGCGTGTGGATGTATATCCTAAATTGCGTTGGTAGGTTACGCGCATGCAATTATCTTAAACTTGTGTATTTAATTAAATAGCAGCAAATGAAAGACAAAGAACAAGTTTGCTTGATTTTTTTTAAGAGCAACTATTTGGAATGTTCTTCCAAAAAAATTAAGTTTAGGTGGGATTGGAGCAGAGAAGCCAATGCTTTTCTAGGGCGCGGGCTCCAGTGAATAAACGATGAGTTTGAATTAAGTAAGAAGTGGTCTTGATACAACACAGAGTTGTTGGTTTTTGTTAGAGACCCGAAGCCAATCAGTTTCACATAGACCGTTTTTGTAAGTTCTATACTTTGAGAATTCTAAAATAAGTATAAGCTTTCCAACGTTTGTGAGTATTCCTTATAATAAAAACAATTAGGGGACTGTACGAAGATTTTATTAACACTTACACCTCCTAAACTCTGAATATATTTATTCTATTTGATTGAGATTTGTTTTACGCGAGGTTGATGTGATTTTTCTATTTGCTCTTAGTTCGACTTTTTTTTTTTTTTTTGGGGGGGGGGCGGAATTTTTTGTTAAAAACGTCGCTCAGAGAGTTTTCAAAAGGTGTGAGTGTTATGAAATATATCTAAAAAAAAGATGTAAATGATTTGAACGTCTTTTGTCGATTAAACAACCAAATAATAACCCATTCAAGAACCGATAGACATCCGCTGAAGGCCTTAACTGACAGTCTTTTTCACATTGTTTATCATGTATTATTATCATACAAATCTACATTAAAAAAAAACGAAACCGCTGAAAATCAAAGCACAATTATTTATTGGGTAAAAAAAGGGAGGCCCATCAGACCACAAGCACTGAAAGCCTAAAGTAAGTCCGAGCAATTATCAAAATTACCCACCCTATCATTTAAACAAAGAATAGAAGTACAACATCGCACGGGGATCATAAATTATCTTACCGACATAAATGCCGCGCCACGACCACCGCCACGCCGTCGCCGCGAGAGAGGAGGAGCCCGCCGCCGAAATAGTACTGTAGGGCGAAGCATTTTCGCGACGGTAAACCTCGCCGGAGACAGCGGTCGGCCGCAAGAGGCTCTCTGAGTTGGCTGACGGCCGTTCGAGATGCAATTCGCGAGCAGTGTCCGTGGGCTCAGGTCGCCCCACGCCCACTGCGCGGCCGCTGGTACGCCCGGACGGCCGACGCGGTAGGTCCGCCGGGTGCTTCCGGGAGGCAGACGATGGCGGACAGGCGCGTCGTCCGCCGCATGCCCGCGAGCGTTTTGTCGTCGTCACGCTGATGACGACGTCGCGGGAATTAATCAGACAAGAACCATCGCGTTTTAGTTCTGTACCTACACTGTCACAGCGGTATCAAATCATTGGCAGTTAACGGAGCCCAATTAGTCCGTATCGATCTTGAAGTTCTCGAATGATCCCTAATCTTTTAATGGTCAATCTGATTTGCAGGGGCGAGGAGAAAAAAAAAAAAAAGGAATGCAGCCTAGAGATTTCGCTTTACTAATCCTAGCTAGTCTGGAGAAAAAATCTAAATTAAACTCGTGATCAGTTCCAATCGCGTAAACTGTGCGACCGTGATCATCCATTTGGGGTAACAGAGTTCAATGGCGTAAGCTCGCCGCAAGCAATCCGGCAGTTTGCGAGTAATAATCTAAAAAGAAAGAAGGAAGAAGAGGAAAAAAAGTTTTTACCGTTGGCGTAGGATTTGGTCCCGCAATTTTCTTTAGAGCAAATTGGTCTTCCTCCTTCCCGATGAAAGGCACTCGTTATGCGTAGCGGACGAGAGAGCACCCGTCCGAGCTGTGAGACGCGCTCGGAGGAGGAGCGGGCAAAGGGGCGCAGATGGCGAGTAGGGCGGGAGCGGACGCAGGGACCGGGCAGTGGCGCGTTGTCGAGGGTCGCCGCGGCACTGGAAGAGCCGTAGGCGGGGAGGACGGAGGAGGCGGCGTCGGAGGTGAACTTGCCGTAGGGGAGGATGAGGCGGCGTTGGCGACGGAGGAGAGGAGGGAGTCGCGTTGGATTGGTAGGGGGAGTTCGTTCGTACGTTCGATGGAGCAGCCGGCGTGTTACGGCGGTGGGGTCCGCGGGCGGTGGCCTAAGGGAGATGGAGAGAAAGAGGGAGAGTAAAAGAACTTTTGGCCATAGAGAGGTCGCATCTGTCGCCCCTCTGCCCGTCCTCCTCCGGAGCCGCGCTCCAGCTCGACGGGTGCTTCGTCCGCTACGATAACGAGTCCTTCATCGGGAAGGAGGAGACCAATTTGCTCTACAAGAATTGCGGGCCCAATCCTCGCAACGGGTAAAACCTTTTTTTTTTTTCCTTCTTTCTTTTTAATTATTACTGGAAACTGCCGGGATTGCTTGCTGGGAGCTTACGCATTGAACTCTGTTACCCCAAATGGATGCGTCGACAGTTTACGGATTGGACTGATCACGAGTTATTTAGATTTTTTCCAGACTAGCTAGGATTAGTAAAGGCGAAATCTCTAGGCTGGCAATTCCTTTTTTTTTTTTCTCCTCCGCCCTGCAAATTTCAGATTGACCATTAAAAGATTAGGGATTCACGAACTTCAAGATCGATTACGGATTAATTGGGCTCCGTTACTGCCAGATTTGATACGCTGGTGACAGTGTAGGTACAGACTAAACCGATGGTTCTTGTCTGATTAATTTCCCGGCGACTGTCGTCATCAGGTACGACGACAAAACCCATCGTCGGGCATGGGCGGGACGACGCGCCTGTCCGCCATCGGTCTCCATCCCGGAAGCACCCGGCGGACCTACCAGCGTCGCGCCTCCGGGTCGGTACCAGGCGGACTCGCGCAGTGGGGCGTGGAGCGCGACCTGAGCCCACAGACTGCTCGGATTGCATTCTCGAAACGGCCGTCAGCAACTCAAGAGCCTCTGCGCGACCCGCATGTCTCTCGGCGAGGTTTTACCGTCGGAAAATGCTTCGCTAAGTACTATTTCGGCGGGGGCTCCTCCTCTTCGGGCGACGGCCGTTGGCGGTGGTGTGTGCCGGCATTATGTGTAAGATATTTATGATCCACCGTGTGTTGTACTTCTATCTTTGTTTAATGATAGGGTGGGTATTTTGATAATTGCTCGGACTTACTTTAGGCTTTAGTGTGTGGTCTGTGGGCCTCCCTTTTTTTTCCCCAATAATAATTGTGTTTGATTTCAGGGTTGTTTTTTTTTAATGTAATTGTATGATATAATAATGATAACAATGTGAAAAAGATGGGTTAAGGCCCTTCAGGGATGTTATCGGTCCTTGAATGGGTTTATTATTTGGGTTAACGACAAAGACGTTCAATCATTTACATTTTTTTTAGATTATTTCATTAACACTCACACCTTTTGAAACTCTGAGGACGTTAAAAAAATTCCCCCCCCCCCAAAAAAAAAAAAAAAAGTTGTTCAACTAAGAGCAATAGAAAATCCATAAACCTCGCGTAACAATCTCAATCAAATAGAATAAATAATTTCAGAGTTTAGGAGGTGTAAGTGTTAATAAAATGCTTGGTCAGCCCTAATTGTTTTTATATAAGGAATCTCAAACGTTGAATTAGTTACTATTTTAGAATCTCAAAGTATAGAACTAAAAAAGGTCATGTGAAACTGATGCTTCTCTAACAAAAACCAACAACTCTGTGTTGTATCAAGACCACTTTTATAATTCAAACTTCGGTTTATTACTGAGCCGCCCTAAAAGCATTGGCTTCTCTGCTCCAATCCACCTAACTTAATTTTTTGGGAAAACATCCAAATAGTTGCTTTAAAAAAAAATTCAACAAACTTGTTCTTTTGTCTTATGCTGTAGTTAATTAAATACACAGTTTAAGATAATTGATGGGTAACCTACCAAGCATTTGGATATACATCCACCCAAGTGAGGCTACCTACAATTTGTCTAGATGGGACGAAATGCCATTGTATAAGTTGTTTAGGTGGCTTTCGCACAACATTGATCAAGGAGCGTGACTCTCCAAGTAATGCTATTGGACGCATTTCACTAGAGTTAAAAAGGTAATATATGATAGAAAAATGGTTAGAAAGCCAAATGGGTGATTTTCGTACGCTCACTATCTTTTACTTTATTTATTTATTAGTTAGAAAAAAAAATACTTTAGTTTGAGCATTCTCTAAGGTCCCGTTTGGCAAAGGGTTAAGAAAGAGAGGTTAAAAAGAATGATTAATGTACTTAGCCCATTCGATAATCTGAAGAACTAAATTATTAACATGTTAAATAAGTTATATTTTAGTCTTTGTGATCAGTTTTAGTGTTTCTGAATAACAATGATTTTGACTATTTTCTTTATAATTAGAAGGGTTAACTCTTAATCCTTCTAAATAGGAGTATTAGTAAACCCCTCATTTTGAGGGGTTAACTCATTTTAATCCCTCTAGCGGGGTTAGATTAACCCTTCTATATTTTTTATGTTTGAGGGTTAACTCACTTTAACCATTGTATAGATTTTTTTGTGTTTGGCGGGTTAAGGAGGGGTTAAGTCTACTTAACACCTCACTTAACCCTTTGCCAAACGGTACCTAATATTGTTAAAGAGGAGCTACGTACGACTCAAGCGCGTAATACTTTAAAATTCTAAGAAAATTATCTCACAACTTATAGTGCTTTTGAAACTTATGGGAGAAATAAAAATTGGAAATTTTTAAAAGAATTCACATTTCAAATTCAGCAACCCCCTCCGTTATTAACTGGAATAACGCACACAGTGGCTACTGCAATACTTCCTTTATCTTAAATTTGTACCATGTCCTGCACAAATGGCGTGCACAAGGCTAATTTTGAATCAATATAGGTGTTGGAGGATAGAGATTAAGGATAGAGAGTTATCCATTCATCTATCCAGTGGACAGGGATTACTGAATAGTTTCTTCGATGGGTGTCCTCTTAAGTTTCTTCTAGTCTACATAGATAGTGCTAGTAATTTTGGGTACCTGTTATACACAAGGAACAAAGTGGGCATTTATATTCAATTTTTACCTCTTTTAATTTCTAATTTAACTTTTTAGCACTGACAAATTCCTCAACTAATATATTTGACCACACTTAATGACGCCGGTTTGTTGAGAGATTGTCATTCTACATTCACGTCTCATTTCTCAGAAAGCCCCCCCTGTTTGTAGAATAGCACTTGTATACTTTTCAAGGGAACAAAGAAAAGTAATTCCTGAAACAGTTTCCATATATATACGTTTAAAGGGAAAAAGAGATACTTTCTTACTATTATTTCCTGTCATAATATCATTTGTTATGTGCGTTCCTTTGGATCCCCATTTAGTCACTTTTGGAATATCGCAGTCCATTTGGTGCTGCTTTTTATGTGCCTTTTTTTATGAATTAACTTTTTATTTAACTTTGATGAATAATTTTGCGTTCACCTTTATAATTTTGCTAAGTTACCATCTGTTATCATTTTTATTCACAGATTTTTTAAGAGAATCGCAACAATTTATCAGGAATAATATAGCTTATTTATAATCAAATCTTGCGTGGAATCTTTGACTATGTACGTATGTTTTATTAGACTGTAATCGATTATAAGGATCTATATTGCAACTTGTATCCCTCTGATACAAAACTTTATAAAATGGGTCATTACTAATATATCTTCTTCTTCTTTTTCTTCTTCTTTTTTTTTTCAATTTTATACAGACGATAGTGCACAAAAAGCAGGAAAGACAATAGCAGTTATCATTGGCCTTATGGCTGGAGTTGCACTCATAATTGTTTTTGCATCATTCATCAGAAGAAGAACCAGAAACAGTAAGTTTACAAATAAATCCTCGCTTTGCGATTATTTACATCTGCATTCTAAAAAGAGGTAAATTGCAGATAACCCCTCACATATATCTTCAACTCGATTATTAGCATTTATCATCTCTCGATTTATAAGGGAGAGAGATGATATGCACCTTATCTTTCTCAAAATTAAATAAAATGATATAAGGCGGTTAAGAAGTGCTATTAAAGGTAAAGATAAGAGATTATATGCAGTTTACGTAGGAAACATAACATACAATGCAGCGAAAATTACATATTATGTAGATTAATCAAAATTGATTAAAATCTAGAAGAGTACCTAAAACGCTTTCCGGATTTTTTCGATAATCTGTCCCAAGATCAATACGAAAAATCTTTCTAAAAAGAAAAACATCCAACTGAAATACACCCGTCACCGAAAAGGAGCAATACTGAGAGATATGTTCTCACAATCTATTTCCTTTTGTTTTTTATTTTTTTTTCTTCTTTTTTTCATAATGCTACATATGAATCCTATATATATGGTTGGACCTACCATATAGATTTTAATTTCAAAATAATTCTTAATTGTTTAAAACTCTATCCATAACATTTAAAGATAGAATATTCTTTCCATAACAATTAGGATAGAAATAGAATTGTATTGTATGTAAACCTCTTCTAATGACATCAGTGAGACCAATTGGATCTCATATCGAGAACAAATTATTAATCAAATTAATACTTTTAATTTAACAATCAAATCCCTATCTGACCAACTGTTCATAAAAGCTCTTTCATAATATGTGATCAAATATTCGTGAATAATATTATCTTACATTCAGTCCCCTCCAGTATCAATTTATTTTAGGCAACTTTATTGAGCATGACAAATCACCTATTTTCTCATTCCTAAAATTACAATTCCATGAACATAAATAAAAATCATTTTGAGGCATCAAACTATTTTATTTTATAAGAAAATAAATTTGGAAAAATAATTTTCAAAAATCACCCGTCGACGGGAATTTAATATCTTCATGAGATATGCATTATAAATTAACTCATAAAAATAAGTATACTGGATCCTATCTAGATATCCACCATTTCCCTAAATAAAATCTAATAACCCAACATTTCAGGTTGTATAGCACTTGTAAAACAAGCTTAACCATCATATCAAAGTATACTAAATTATCAAATTGAAAATGATGATATCATCAAGTCTAAGGGATCACATAACAATTCAAATTCTCTATCTCTTAGGTGACTAGTCCTAGAGAATCCAATAAGGTCTTGTGCTACACATATCAAATATGCGCTTATGACATATACCCGGAGAATCTTCATTCTCGATAGCTGAGATCAACCATCACATCTCATATGTCGTTGTCATGCATAATAATCTATTATAACAAAGTTATCATTTACTAGTTATAGGTTAAGCACAAATTTAAGAAACCTCTGAATTAGATCATATCTCCAAGCAATTGATCACCACGGTGCATCATCTAACAAAATAATTTCTAATGATAATATAACAATTATATAAAAGATACCCAAACTACATGTGCAACAATAAAATTAATTAATATTCAATAAAAAATGTATTGGATGTTTAAGGGCATATAACACTACTCTAGTTACTCAAGCAGTTTAACCTTCTAAAAATTAATCAATTAATTAATTTTCTTTTGATCTTCTTCTTCTCAATCTGCAGGTAAACTTTAATTGCTTTGTTATGAAGGATATCGGTGGCAAACTTCCAATGGAGAACGTGTCTCTACCTCACACCTAAACTCTCTCTTTAGGGGTTTAGGGTCCTTTTTCATAATTTTTTTTTCATAAAAGATAAAAGATAAGGGCCCCTTTAACAAAAGGTAGAGGTACAAGGAAAAAGGTTATTTTGCAAAATAAAAAGATTCCAGGCCCACCAAGCTTAATAGGGCATTTTTACTTTTGTGTAATATAAATTGCATATGTTTAGTTCTTTGTAATTGTTCGTGGCTATATAGCCTGTATGTGCATTTTTCTAGGGTTCACGGGTTTGGTGTCTGGAACATGATTAGTTGTTGTCTTCTCTGTAAATAATGATCTAGTGAAATGGTTTTTTTTCTGTAAATTATGATCAAGTGAAATAGTTTTTTTTTTCCTTTCCTGCATGCAAATTTGATTTTTTTGAAATAAGCTTGTTTCAGTTCAATATGTTGGATTAAAATCTTTGCTCCTCTGGTTTTAGATTTTGAGCTAATTGACAGATTTTGCATTATCTGGAAAAATGCAGAATTAATGTCATTGCATCATTAAGGGAGAAATTGCATCGATGAAGAAGGAAGCAAATGCATTTCATATTTTAAAGAATTTAAGAGAAACTTGACGAGGGCACATCAATATATTTTTCGTGTACAGAAAGATAACGATATGAGTTCGAGACATATATCTATGTGACACTACTTTATTTTTTTTAATGTATAGAAGAGGAAGATTTATATAGAATATATAAGGGACAGAATTTTCTTTCTTACGCACAGAAGAAGAAGATTCATATAGAGTAAAGGAGCATAATTGATTCGCGCATTGCTGCAGCGTAAGTGTGGAAATATCAAAATAAAAATAATTTAAGCAATTTGGTTTAAAACTACACTATATATTGACCACTTAGAACAACAATGTAATCCAAAAAACCTTTAGTATATAGATAAACAAGAGCGATTATATCCCTGTTGGGGAATTTTAGTCTCCCCGCTTACTGCGATCTTCGCAACTTGGAAGCCAACCACAATCAAGAATAAAGAAAACGATCACAATCAAGAAGAAAGAACATCAAGATTTACGTGATTCAGTTGACTAACTTCGACCTACATCCACAGGCAACAATACGAGAAATCCACTATGTATCAGGAAGAACTACAATAGGAACCACTCAACTCTCGTCTCTCAATCTCTCAACCTCTCAACCTCACATACATAATCAACACTCATATTATCTCCAAAGCTCTCTCCTTACAATCTTTTAAACGGACAAAGACTGCGAAACCCTCTCTCAATGATGTAATTTTTTACACGGACAAAGACTACAAAACACTCGCCTCTCGCACAATATTCTTGAATCAGGTTATGCCCTCTGCTAATCATAAATTACAAGAATATTGGCTCTCTCTCATCTACTTTGTTTTTCCTCCGACAATAGAAGAATATATATAGGAAAATCAAAACTCTATCTTTAGCCTAACTTCCTTATTAGAATAGGATTCAAACTCCTAATCATAATGAGACATAATCTCCTAATCATGATAGATCTCTAACCATATCTAATTCTTATTAAGTTATACAAAGAATTAAAGATAATCCTAACAATCTTCACCTTTGATTTGATTCCCAAACTTCCTTGAAGATATATCATTGCCGTCTTGAAACTTTGTCTCTCCTAGTAGAGTCTTTTATTTCTTTCGCACTTCAAATCGTAGCACCTACACTCTAACTGGGACGTCCGTATGACCCATACTTTCATTTGTTTTACCGTGGCGCCTCCACCTCTCTTGTGTGCAACAAGAGATCTTTGTCACCTCTAACATTAGAAGCAAATCAACCATGCGTATCCTCTCAACTTGAGCCTGACAATAGCCTTCCCCCACTTGTTATCCTCGTACTCCACCTGCATCGCTCGTCTCGAATCATATAGTGCACCTCTCCTAATCCACACTACGAGACAGATGCCTCCGTCTCCTCCATCACTTGGCTTGGATTAAATATGAGAGCTCATCGTCTTCAAGTCCAATGCCACCATCTCCATCTCCCTGTGTATCACTCGGTCGTGCCTGCTTGCAAGCTCCACCTAATCTGGCACTATCATCCTCGAGTCTACGCACCAACCAACTCAAGCTCCCGTGATGACTTTGAATAATCATATGCTGACAACTCTACTGCTAGAATCACATCTGATTCTCTACGTCAGTCTCATTCATCGCATACTCATTTTCCCTATTTGCCATGCTGCAAAATTTGTCTTGCCGTTGAATAGCGGAATATCATCATCCTCTAACCAATCTGAGCATAATCTGAAAAATCAGACCCTTCCATCGCGTTTAGAGCACTCCAAAACCTACATATCAACTCCTGGATCGTCGTGTTCTGCCTTTGATTCACTACTGCAGTCGCCTGTAGACTTCGTCGTCGGACACTGCATCCCTCCGGTGCTCTCTTCCGAACGATTAGTTGCTGTTAAATCCTCCTGCTGATAATGGTCGTTCCTTCCTTTTTTTTCTTTTTTCTTCGTCTTGATTCTTGTAACGCCGATTTTTAATCTTGCACAACGACGTCTTCTATCTTGCGAACTCACTCCCGGATCCATCAACATAGTTCTGATACCACTGTTGGGGAATTTTAGTCTCCCCGCCTACTACGATCTTCGCAACTTGAAAGCCAACCACAATCAAGAATAAAGAAAACGATCACAATCAAGAAGAAATAACACCGAGATTTACATGGTTCAGTCGACTAACTTCGATCTACGTCCACAGGCAACAATACGAGAAATCCACTATGTATCAGGGAGAACTACAATAGGAACCACTCAACTCTCGTCTCTCAATCTCTCAACCTCTCAACCTCAAATACATAATCAACACTCATATTATGTCCAAAACTCACTCCTTACAATCTTTTTAAACGGACAAAGACTGTGAAGCCCTCTCCCAATGATGTAATTTTTTGCACGGACAAAGACTACAAAACACTCCCCTCTCGCACAATATTCTTGAATCAGGTTACGCTCTCTGCTAACTCTAGATTATAAAAATATTGGCTCTCTCTCATCTACTTTGTTTTTTCTCCAACAATAGAAGAATATATATAGGAAAATAAAAAATCTATCTCTAGCCTAACTTCCTTATTAAAATAGGATTCAAACTCCTAATCATAATGAGACACAATCTCCTAATCATGATAGATCTCTAATCATATCTAATTCTTATGAAGTTATACAAAGAATTAAAGATAATCCTAACAATCTTCACCTTTGATTTGATTCCCAAACTTCCTTGAAGATATATCATCGCCGTCTTGAAACTTTGTCTCTCCTAGTAGAGTCTTTTATTTCTTTCGCACTTCAAATCGAAGCACCTACACTCTAATTGGGATGTCCGTATGACCCATACTTTCATTTGTTTTACCGTGTCGCCTCCACCTCTCTTGTGTGCAACAAGAGATCTTTGTCACCTCTAACATTAGAAGCAAATCAACCATGCGTATCCTCTCAACTTGAGCCTGACAATAGCCTTCCCCCACTTGTTATCCTCGTACTCCACCTGCATCGCTCGTCTCGAATCATATAGTGCACCTCTCCTACTCCACACTACGAGACAGATGCCTCCGTCTCCTCCATCACTTGGCTTGGATTGAATATGAGCGCTCATCGTCTTCAAGTCCAATGCCACCATCTCCATCTCCCTGTGTGTCACTCGGTCGTGCCTGCTTGCATGCTCCACCTAATCTGGCACTATCCTCCTCGAGTCTACGCACCAACCAACTCAATCTCCCGTGATGACTTTGAATAATCATATGCTGACAACTCTACTGCTAGAATCACATCTGATTCTCTACGTCAGTCTCATTCATCGCATACTCATTTTCCCTATTTGCCATGCTGCAAAATTTGTCTTGCCGTTGAATAGCGGAATATCAAACTTTGGACCCGAAAAAATCATCATCCTCTAGCCAATCTGAGCATAATCTGAAAAATCAGACCCTTCCATCGCGTTTAGAGCACTCCATGTTAGACCCTAGAGGGGGGTGATTAGGGTCTTATGCTAATCTAATCCGATTAAATGCTAATTAAAAACTAATTAATACGTTATCCTAGCAAGTATGAAATACAACAATATTTGTAAGCTAGGGTAAGCAATGTAAATAATAAGATATATCATATATGATGTAATATATATGCAAGGATATATAAACTAACACAAGGGTAAACAATATGAACTAGATAGTGACAATAGATATATGTAATGATATATAAACTAACACAAGGGTAAATAATCTAAACAAGATAGTGGATGAAAGAGATAATGAGCTAATGACAATGGCGATATAAGATATGAACATAAATATGAATGAACGCCAAAGCACACTCAAACAAGCAATATGATCACGCTAGATCAAGATGGAGAGATGGAGATTTGAGGCCCAAACAAGAAGATAATCTCCTCCACTTGTGAAAGCTAAACTTGCTTTAAACTAAACCCTTAAACAAGCTTAAACTCTTTTTAAAACCCTTGTTTAAAAACTTCTTTAAAACATTCTTGGATTGTTGAGAAGAGATCAGCAATGAGGTATTTATACCCTCTCACAACTCAGCCAAAAACCCCAAGCAAAAAGACAAAAACAGCCCAAAGCAACGGTAATAAAACTAGCCGTTGGAAGCTGAAAAAGA